AGTGATTTCCTTCTTTGAGAGACAGGAGATGGGAAGACAGACGGACAGGCAAGAGGAAAGAGAGATTCTGTTCTCTATGGGTTCTTACTGCGATGCGAGCGGGACATCTGAGTGTCTTCCAGCAGTGCTTTCAGCAACGTGACTGCCATCTGTCATGTTTGTTCTCTCCTCTGCGGGAGGGAGAAGTGTGTGCAGTGGGGTGTTCTGCTCTAGTGTGTGCATGTGTGTAGGTTTATGTTAGAGAAGGCAGGTCAAAGAAATGTGCCTGGCACCTGGAGTGAAGGTGATGGTCCTTGGTTCTTGGGGGTAGTTCATTCCATGGTCTCGGACCAGCCCCCAAGGAACATTCTGTCTCCTCCACAGAAGAGCTTTACACTTATTACAGAGAGCTCCACTGCGGTGGAGTGGTTGACCATGGTCTTCATCCCTGGGCCCAGGCCACAGAGTGCCTTGAAGATCAAGCTGAGACCTTGAACTTGGCTTACTTTTCTATCTATGGAAGCCAGTGTAGGGAGCAGACAATAGGTGTGACATGCTCTCGTGGCAGGAAGTGTTGCTGCAGAGACACACTGCAGCATCCTGCATTAGTTGGAAGGAGAGACCATTGCCACGGAAAATAGTGACTGGACGGTGAGGGGGAGGGCAAATGCTAATTGAAGGGAGAAACCGTCTTGAAGCATGACATCAATTTACCCTGTTTGCTCACCTCCCCTTGGTGCAAGGAGAGGCTTGGGGCTTGTGGAAATGGGTGGAGAGGTTTATATTTGGGGAAAGCGGGTGCCCCCCAAATCAGCAGGGGGCAGAGCTTAGGGAACAAACAGACCTCAGCAAGTCAAACCTACAGCCCGTGTCTCCCATGCATCCCCCACTCGCTTCCCTCCAGTACAGCCTTGGTCTCTGCTCTCCAGCACCACCTTCCTCCCACGCCCTGCTTCCTGGCCTTCCCGGGATACTCCAGATGGGGCCTGTGGCTGGTAGACGTCCCAGCTGGCAAGCCATGTTAGCTGGGCCCCCACTGAACAGCTCTGCTCGCACTGACTTATTGATGGGCATGGCTCAGCTGCCTCTATCCAAGCTGCTGGAGACCTTTTCTTGACAGGCCACGCTGCAGTGGGAGGTAGGGGGAGCAGGAAAACAAGCACTGGAGGGATCTGGGGAAGATGATGGACTGCTGCAGTCCCCACATGGGGTCTCCCAGGCATTCTCACATCACACCATGTCTCTGCTGCTGTGCAAATGGATTTGAAGGCAGAGCCCCTTCCCTGAACCTTGGCTTTCACACACACTTTCCTCTTGAAAGTGACTTCTTCCGTCTGGGCTACCTCAGTCCCTCAAGCGTGGATGGGGCTGGGAGTGGGGAGACAGCTGTGCAGAATTCACAATGGGCTCCTGTCACGTAGAATAACCCAAACCTTCCTAAAGTGGGTCAGTAATTAGGCAACTGGCAAATAGCTGCTTCTCACAGGGACAGGGGGTGGGTGCGCCCAGCCTTCAGGCTTGCTTGGGGCTGGGTGGAGAAGGAGGATGGGTGTTAGGAGTCATTTTGTAGGGCCTGCGGTTACTCAGCATGATGCTGTTAAACTAGGGCTGCAAATGGCTGGCTGATGCCACAAGACATGCTGAAATGAGAAGGGCTCTTTGCAAGGAAACAGGCAAAACAGTGGGTCAGGATTTCATCCCAGGCACTTAGTTCTAAAAGGTTTTCCCCAGCTCTGGCTAGCAGCCTGACTTCTCCAAAGGCCATGGAGGTGGGAGCCTAGTATTTGCACCAAGAATTCAACACCTTCCCTGGTCTCTTGCCAGGTCAGCTTCCATGTTCTGATGCACAGCCATTCTGAGGGCCCTGTGACTGGTTAGAATCCAAGCATCAGACAGGAGGACCTGGGGCTGACAGGGATGGAAGAGCTTGGTCAGACTCTCAATACACTGGAGACATTTCAGAACCATCTTAGAGCTGATACTTTCATTCTGGGACTGACCCCTGCAGCTTGGAACCCAATGCCGCTAAAACGCGCAAGAGCAGGGACTGTTGTTGTGTTTTGTGTTTGTGCAGTGCCTCGCACAATGGGGTTTCGGTCTGTGACTGAGGCTCTAAGGCGCTCTGGTCATGCGAAGGAAAAGAGCAGCCTGCTGTTGCAGGGAGACAGTTTGGAGTTGGATGACGATAGAAGAATTCATGTCCAATCACAGAGAGGGCACACTGCAGGATAGGAGAAATATTGGCCGTGGGACATGGAAGTTAACCAAAACAGATTTGCACTCTGGGATCCAATTGCTTAATTCAGATATGTACAAACAATTGCCTGATCACTGTATGTGTATGTAGATGCACACACTCACTCTCACTGCATGGACAGTAGTCTGACGACTCTAGGTACACGCACACACTCAGCACCCATGTCAGTACCTAGACACAAACATAGCTGAAATCACAAGTGGTGACATTGCCAAGCAAACAGCCAGCATTCAGCTTGACACTTATTGATTTCCCAAAGTTTTCTGTCTGTGGCCTGTGTAAAGTCCATGACCTGTGAGGGCTCAGTGGGGGCTGTTTACCAATCAGAGAGCCCAGAAAGCATCTAGTCCTCTCTAGCTCCTGTGTGGTCTTGCCATTAACCTCATTTACTGCTGCTGTTGCACGGACTGCCTCTTCCCCTCTGTGAAATGGTGTTTTCTGGTTGTGGTTTGGTAGGGGTCCCTCCCTGGCTTTGGTTTTATTTGGTGGAAAATGCCCACGTAGGCTGCAGGTGACTGGCAGCTTTGATGGCTGGAGGAGCAGACCCCTGGGAGAAGGAGCACGGGGTGTGGTAAAAGGGTAGCAGGATGTCCTGGCACAACTCCTCTTCACACACCACACAGGAGCCTGTGGTTCTCATTGCAAGTCAGCTTCCCTTGTCTCCTTCCCTTCTGGGTGATGGGTGCGGGAGAGAGACGGCACCTATGCAATCTATATGGAGCTCGCTTGCTCCTCTTTGATGCTTGTCTGCTGTGGCCTGTATGCAGGGGAGCTGGGGTAGGGATGTTTCTAGAAAATCTTTGACTTAAAAAAAAAATCTAACAAAATATAAGGAGGGCCCCAATTCTGATCTCCAGTACAGCCTGAATAGCTCCAGAATCTGGCCCTGTGTTGGGAGTTAATGGCCCAAATCCTTGTCCCGGGGACTTCAGTATGAGTCTTTCAGAGTAGCAGCCGTGTTAGTCTGTATCCGCAAAAAGAAAAGGAGGACTTGTGGCACCTTAGAGAAAATAAATTTGTTAGTCTCTAAGGTGCCACAAGTCCTCCTTTTCTTTTTTTAGTATGAGTCTTGCCATTGACTTCAAGGGGAATGAGGATCTGACCTATGAGCCAGATCCTCAGCTGGCGAGACACTGACAGAGCCACGCTGACTTGCACCATAGCAGACAGACATCACCCGTTTGGTTCAGTGGAGACCGTGTTATACATGGACTGGGATTTCCCCCCAGCATCAGCAGGCTGTTGTGTAGCTGAATGCGTAGTGCTTGTAAAGTGTGTGGGAATCTGTGCCTTGGCTGGTGCTACGGGTGAGCAGGAACTGGCCCTGCCTGTGCCATCTGTGGTCTGAAAAGAGAGGATCCCAAGCTGCTGGTCACTGCAGGGTCCCATTTGGAGCTCTCTCCTCTACGCTATTTCCCAGGACGCTGGTGATAAATGCTGGACAAAGAGAAACTCCCTCTACTCTCCTGCTATGCCCCTTCCCCACCACACCACTTCCCTCAGCCTGGCTTTCTGCATCTGTGTGCTGGTGGGGGGGAGCTTCTCCCATGCAGCTACTGCCTCCCTGCATCGCTCTTCATGGCCAACTCTCCATCTTTCCTCTTACTCCCCCTCTCCCTTTGCTGCTTGGTATGGCACGCTGCATGGGGCAGCTGGATTCTTAACCCAGCTCCAGCATGGAGGTAAAATGGCAAAGGCTGGATGTGCACATAAGGCACAGAACAACAGATTTGGGCTGGATTAGAACCAGCAGCTGGGAGCTTAAAGGCTCTGTGCCCCATTAACAAATCCCCAGCCATAGGTGTGTGTACCCCCAGTAGTCAAATAGCCCTCATCACCGTAGTACCTCAGCACCTCCTGTCTGGTTGCAGCGTTCTGTACGGCTAGTGCCCTAAAGTGTTCTGTGATCGTCCTCCGTCAGAGATGCTGGTAAAATGGATCAGCAAAGAGACCTGGGTTCCCATGCGGTTCCTTCTTGGCTCTGTGGGCTCAGGCTGTGAAAGAGACCAGGGTTCGAGTAATGTACTTATTGGGTAATAGTAACCGAAGAGCTGGCAATAGGGGGATGATGTTCCCAAACACCCTGACCACGCCCTAGCACACACAATCTTGAACTACCCTATACCTGCCCCCATGCATCCTCTCCCCTTCCCCGGCTTCTCAGCACAAATGCCAGGCCCATTGCTCATCCCTCCAGAGAGGTGGGGGCTGAAATATTTGGAATCCAGGTGCACTTTCAGCTCCTCTTTGTACTTTGAGCCAGGGTTGACTCAGGTCCTGTACATTGAGCTCGGGCCCGCTCTGCTGTAACCACTGTTCCCAGAACTCAGCCAGTTGAGGGGGGAAAGGGAGATAAACATCAGAGTTCAAGAGCCAGACAAACATAGCAAAGCAAACTCGCCCTCAGAGGCAAGCGCACCAGGAGAAGCTGCTGCGGGCTCCGACAGTGGAAGGATGAGGTGAGTCCGGTCAAGGAGGCTCTTCTCAGGTAGCCTGGGTTCTCTAGCTCTTTGTCCTGTTTTTATGTAAGGAGATGCAGCCCATCTCCTCTCCTGGGTCTTATGTCAGCAGCACTCATTTGACTCCCAGGGCATTTACAGAGGAGAGGAGCATCAGGTGCAGAGATCTTGACTCATGTCCTAGTGCCCTCGGTGTGTAGCGAACGTGATCTCTGAGCTAACGTTCACCCCCCTGGTTACTGTCTGTGTTCCATTTGGGGCAGGCTGTACCTCCTCTTGGCAGCCCTTTGCCATGGAGTGGGTAGCAACATCCAGCTGCAGAAAATGTATGGGAGGATCACATCCCCAGATTTCCCAAACGTCTACCCCAACAACAAGCAGAGAAGCTGGAATATCAGCGTCCCCAAGGGATACGCCATCCGGATCTACTTCACCCACTTTAACATGGAGCTGTCCTACCTGTGTGAATACGATTATGTGAAGGTACGCTGAGCCTCGGTACAAAGAGGGTGTCCATGGTCATGCATGAGGCGTATGTATTAATATAGAACTTTGCGTCTGTGCACGTTGATGGCTGGCTGTATATGAAACCTATGAGAGGTGTATGTTTGTACTTACAATATGGCATGGCATGTGCACTTCTGTAGAGACACATGTATTACTCTGGGTAATTTGCTTTATACTGTCTGTGTCTCCTGGAGCTGCATATCCCCTTCCGCACTCAGAATGAAATGTGTATACCGATATATGGCACAACCAGCTCCAGCTGGGGTCGCAGGTTTCAAGGAACCAGTTTCTCTTATGGTCAGATTTCCTTGTAATGTTTGGGTCAGCTGATTTGCAAGTGATGCATTCACATCGGCCCACAGGATCAGGAAGCATCGTTGGAAGAAAACTAGAGCTGGTGGAAATGCTGAAGTTCTGTTCCCTGGACAGATCGGACTTGTTGAAATTTTCTTTCATCCCACATGGAAACAAGAGGTCAGAATTTCTCACAAAATAATAGTGCTCCAATTCCATTTTGGAAATACTGAAACAAGCTTACAGAAGTGCGTCACTTCTCCTATTATATTATAAATTATAATCTCAGACTTTTATCTATCATCATACAATATCCTAGAAGCAAAACACTTCAATCTTATTAAAATGAAGCCATTCAGTAATTTTTCACCAAAAACTGTGACAAAGTGATACAGTCCCAGGAAACGTTTCAATTTTCTTGAATCAACATTTTCTGTCCTGTCTGAAGTTTTTTGACCGGCTCTACAAAATACTTGTATCTCATGAGAGCTGTGCTGATGGGACCTGGGTCAAAAGTGAGACACAGCCCAAGCAGCAGCATCAGGATGTTCATATATAATGGTGAAGAGCTTGCGAAAAGAAAGTGGCCAATGGACTATTTGGGGGAAGTGTGAAAAAGCCTGAAAGGAGACGCTGCTGATATCCGGATCAGGGCCTGTTGTGCTAGGCGCTGTACATACATCTAATAAAAAGATAGGCCTTGCCCCAGAGAATTTACAAGCTTAGCGTATGATGAGTGGCCAGAGGAATGGGGGAAGAGGGCAGCACAAGGCAGCAAACTCAGCACACCAGCTGTCCAGCCATGTGTTCATACTGATATCGGTAGGGGCATACTCGAAGGTCAGTTTGTGGTTGGGGGAGCCGTATCCACAGGAGACATGCAGGAGGCAGGTGGTGTGCTCACACTGGCAATCATTGTTTTAACCTCAGTAGAACCAGATCAAGCATTTTAAGTAAAATCTTAATCCCTGAGTTACTCGGACGAGATGTTCATGTTCCTCTAAGGCCATAGTGCTTTTCACCACGTCTTCCTCTGAGGCTGTACCCTGTCGGTCAGACTGCTTAGCCTCTTACCCGCTGCTAGAACTTGTGTGCATGAGCTCTCATCCCCCTCCATCCCCAGGGGCAGCACAAATCCTGTTTATCAAAAATGGCCTAGTAATGACATCCAAAACTTTCGGGGACATGGGGCTAGGGGACTGGGATACTTGGGGAATCCAGTGGATGTTTCCCACCAAGGAACATTGCATCAGAGAGAATGTGGAAATGGAGAGACCCAGCTTAGCGGGCTTTACTGTAAATTCAAAGCTGTGTGTGTTTTAACCTGCGTTTAACACTAATACCTCCTTTCGCCTGTGACTGGCCATAGCCCAGTGGATTGCTCCCTCATAGGATCAAAGGGGAAAGCAAACAGGAACAAAACCCACAGCAAACAAAACCCCGGGCTGGTGGCCCAAGCTGGCCTTGGGGCTTTGTGTGTGTTGGAGGGAAGGGAGGGTTCAGGAAATGAGCTTTACAGCCAAGGATTTAGGGAAGGGGAGGAGAATGGGGGGCAAGTCAAGGCATGGGGAAATTGCTGTCCACTGTGTAAAATGACAGCCGCAATTGTATAACCGAATCCAGAAGGATGGTCTTCGTCACAAATGTACCCCTGAGAATGCTGTAATCTCTAAACCCCCTGATTGTCCCACTGGGGGACAAACTTCCTGGTGGTGGAAAGTCTGCCAGGAGCAGGGGACCTTCAGACTCAGCTCTGCCAGCAGAGTGGAGAGCACGTGGCTAGGGCACATGACAGATGCGCTGATTCATTCAGGGTTCTGTGGAATCCTGGCTACAAGTTAAAGCTGCTCTTGCTAGTGCCTGTCTTGGTTCTTCCTTCCTTTTCTTGCCTCTCCAGCTATCTCCAGTCCCTCTATTCCTGCTTGGTCATGCTCCAGAGGGGTGCCCAGAGGCTGCAGAGGGGGAGATGCCACAGCTGAAAGGTGGCGGGGGGGTGTGGGGGAGAATCAAGGAAAGCTGGAAGCAGGCAGGGTGGTGATAGTTATATGGAGCTGGCAATGGGGCATACCATGGTTAGGGAGGGAACTGGGTGTGGCCCTGCACAAGGACCTACTCCTGGTCCCCCTGATTTCAGGGTTGCAGGATTGGGCTCCATATACTGGGTGGGGGGCAGGCGTGGAAATAGAGGCTGCAGCTGAGTGTAGACATGACTAACTCCTCCATCCCCTGCACAGATCAGCTCCGGTGGGAAGCCGGTGGCCACACTGTGTGGACATGAGAGCACAGACACTGAGGAGGCTCCAGGCAACAGGACGTACCACTCCATCGACAACACCCTCACTGTGACTTTCCGATCCGACTACTCCAACGAGAACCAGTTCACCGGCTTCGAGGCCTTCTACTCAGCTGAAGGTGAGAGATGGGCCCCTCACTGAGGAGGAAGGGGTAGAGAAACCAACCCAGCTACGCTAGGGCCAGCTCCCCTCCTGGCCTCACGCAGACTCTGGCTGCTAGCACCAGGGGCTGGCCGAAGGAGACAGCTGTGCTTCTCAGGTGGATGGAGACTCTGCCTGCTGCTACTAGTGAATGGATTAGGATCAGCTGTATTCATTACGGGTAATGACTCGAGTAGGTGACTACAACTCAGAACATCTGTCCCCAACTCTGCCACTGTCTCATTGTGTGACCTTGGGCAAGTCACTTCCTGTCTCTGAACCTGCTCTTCCCCCATGGACAAAATGGGGCGACTCCCATTTACCATCCAGGGCTTCTGCGATGGTTAATTAACGTCTGTAAAGGATTGGACAGTGCTGGAGGAGAGCAAAGCGTTAGGAGGTAGATTCCTCCTAGGACAATGGAGTACGACAGGAATCTGTGTGAGAACAGAATACAAAGCCAGCGTTAGTAATCGCTGTGCAAGACGGCACTGTCACAGCGGGCCAGGCAGAGCTGGTGTCTGGGGAAGGGGGAATCCCCTGTATGCTCCTTCACCAGCTGTCAGATTGTGCTGGGTGTTTGGCTTTGAGTTTCATATGGTGCCTAGAGCAGGGGATCTTCCAACTGTACAAGCTAAGGGGAGGCAGTGGGGGGAGAAGTGTGTTTGAAAAGCTCCAGAGTGATTCAGAAGCACCAGGCCCGTTCGCTTCCTGGGGGAACTGTACCCCTGCCTAGCTTAGGTTCCTCTGAAAGCCCCACCTTTATGTTTTACAAAGAATACTAAGGAAAACCAGCCTGGCACAGACACATGTTAAAGGGTACAGAGTCAATTTACTAAAACATGTCCCTGCTCTGTTCCCACCTCCCCGCCAGTTCCCATTACATTCCTGCACAGAGCTCCGAGAGCCCACCACCCAGTGCAGTCAAGTTAATGCTGCTGTGTTTCAACCCGCTAGATGTTGATGAGTGTGAGCAGCTGATTGACGACGAACCACTTTGTGACCATCACTGTCATAATTACTTGGGCGGCTTCTACTGCAGCTGCAGGGTTGGCTACGTCCTCCATGAAAACAAGAGGACCTGCGTAGGTGAGTCTGCCCCTCTACCCATGCGCAGGGTCAGATGCCCCCACCCCGTTAGAACAGGAGTTCCTCTCCCCCTCTAGGCGACCAGGTCAGTAAGCAATCCATGCTGCAGCCAAGTTCAGAGCTGGCCTATGGCCCCTGCAGGCCAGCTGAAGTCACCCTGATGGGGCAGGGCATGAGTCAGTGCATGCACTCCTCAGCTGATGGCAGAGTGTCTAGCTCCTGCAGGTCAGGCATCCCACCCCTGGCATTCACCAGCCCTGGTGTCAGCAGTCTCAGAAGAGAGGCCACTGCTTGGGTAGGCATGGAGGTTAGAACATTCCAGTCGCTGCCAGAAATCATCCCTCCAGGCCAGGTTTTCAGCATGTTGGCTAGAGGAAGGAAGCCTGCCCCATGGCTGCTCATATCGGAGACCTTCAGTCTGCAGGGCTCCCAGCCCAGCCCCTCCGGCCAGCACTCCTGCCTTCCGAGTGCTGCGATGGATAATACTTTTGAGTCTTCTGGCGCTTCAGGATCTGAGCTCGGGGCTGCTTCGAGGAGGAACAATCTGCTGCCGAGTGACAGTGGATACCCAGTTCAGACAGAGAACAGCCCTGCTATTACCTGACGGCTAGGAGAGTCCTCATGCTATTGACACCGGCCATAATAACCCACCCTGAAATAGGTGAGGGGGCCAGCCAGAGCTCTCCCTCCCCTAGCAGGCACACAGCCGGGCTGCTGGCTGTCTCTGCTGCTCTGCACATGCTGCTGAAGGAAGGTTTATGATCTGACAATAAGGAGTGAATGTCTGTCTGAATCAGTGCAACGATCAACACCTCGGGCTTGGTTCTGCCTGCTGCAAAACGTGTAGATTCCTGGCGCCAGATTCCTCCCTGCCACATGCAGCTTCGCTGACCAGGAGCTGGCTCCTGTGCCTGGGGAGAACCAGGGCCATTTTGTACTTGGCCGAGGCTGGTGTGGAATGACATGGCAAGCCCAGCTTTTCCACCACTTTGCTATGGATTTAGATCTAAACTCTGAAGTTCGAGCCTGTCTCTGGATCTAGCATTTCAGTGCAGCCCATTGCAAACACACACAAACTGGGGGGATGTTTGGGTCTGATTTGGGAGCCAGACTCCAAGACTCGGGCATATCTCTAGTGCCTTGGGAACTTCTGCCAGCTGCCCCAGTCCCTTTTCCTCTTCCCATCACTGGGACTTGTAACAACAGGGGGGCTGGGTTTGTTGTTGTTTTAAAGCAAATCTCCCATCTTGATTTAAGATGGCAAGCGCTGAGCTCATTCCATCCTTCAGACTCCAAAGATCTGTTTGGAAAGATGCTGACTTCTGAAGCTGCCCCTTTGAGTTTTTGGCCCCGCTCTGGGAAGGCTGCGACTGGCTGCCCTCTTACTTATTTACTCTCTTTCTCCTTTATTTTCCAGTGTGAGATAATTAAGCTTCTCCTTGCATAGGCAGAGATCAAGACAGATGTGCTGGGAAGAGTTGGCTCATCCTTCTTCCTGACCTGCCCATAGCTGCATGTCACAGGGCCACCAGCTCCGCTTGTTTGTTTGATTAGTGACTTGCGCATGTCTCAGTTTCCTTCCTTCCAGACCTGCCTCCTGCAGACAATAAAATGGCCTTTCCTGTTCCTAAAGTCAACTGCAGCCTCCTCCTCATTTCTTTGCATTGCCATGTACTGCTGAGGAAGGGAGAAGGCAGATAAGGCAGAGGCTGATAAGAGAGAGCCCTGCTGTTGGCAGTAAAGCTACCTAGAGATAGGACTGCCTCTGGTCTTAAGCCCATTGCTTTTCTTGCTTGACTGATCAAAGTGCTTAAACTAGAACAGGACCTGAATCCCTCCAACCCTTTGAACACTCGGTAAGTTCGATCTATTCAGACTCCAAGAGAGAACCTCGTATCTGTGTTCAGACAAGCCAGAAGCCCCAGTTCTGAGCATGCTGACACTGTGGAAAAATCGGGATCTGGACCCAAACTTTATGACTTTAGCCACATCTCCCACTGGAAACCCAACCCTGTTCTAATGGTGCGATCTGGTGAACCCTCTGCAAAGTCTCTGGGCTCCAGGTGCTTTGCTAAAGAAAATAATGAAGATAGGCCCTGGCCCAGCGAATTTACGAGCTTAGCGTATGATGAGTGGCCAAAGGAATGGGGGAAGAGGGCAGCACAAGGCAATTAGTGTAAGCAAAGCAGCCAGCTTTTGGGGGAGCGGTGTCTTTCGGCTGAGTGTGGAAAGGAAGTCCCATCTCTTGCCTGATAGATCCAGAGCGCCCATTGTAGCCACAAGGCAGCTCAGCTGAGCTCATATGCTGCCATGTGTCCTCTGTCTGCCACTGACAAAGATAGTATCCTGGAAACAGAGGTGGATTTAAATAAGTGGCTCCATCCAGTGCCTGGTTCCTTCTTTATAAGTGGCACTGTAGCTGGCCAGGTTAACTCCTGTGGTGCAGTCTCCACTAATGTCCCCATAGCATTGATCCATGCCTCCCTCTTCTATTTCAAAGTAACACAGGAGCTGGCTAGGTAACCTCAATGGGGAGTTCACTAGCCATGTTCCAGGACCTGTTTTCTGGCTGCAAGTGGGATATTCACTAGTGGAACTGAGAAGCTCCAGGAAAATCCCCCTGAAGATAAAGCCAGGCTTTATATTAAAAAAACTAAGCAAGTTCATGAGGCCGTGGAGCCTCTTCATTGCTGAAGTTAAAAAAAGGGCAGGGGGCACTTAAAACAAGCCTCAGAAGCTCAGTCTCTCTACTCCAATCTCTGCTTTTCTATGCTCAGTTCATGCATACCCCAAATCCCTGTTCCAAGGGAAGACTGGGAGGAAGGATGGTCTAATAGGTAGAGCATCAGATGCAGGCTTGGAAGACCTGGGCTCAGTCCTGGCTTAATGACAGACTTCATGTATGACATTGGGCAAGTCATTTAATCTACGCTGTGCCTCAGTCTCCCATCTGTAAAATGGGGACAACACCACTTCCCTACCTCACAAGGATGTTGTGAGGGTAACTCCCCCCCCACACACACACACCATGAGTGTGAAGCGCTTAGATACTCTGGTGATGAAGGCTGTAGTCAAACCTAGACACCTAGAGATCACAGTGCCAATCTCAGCCTGACTAGCTCTTTCATGGGTAGGAAGGCTCTGTCCTGATGTACTTGATCTTGTCTTGAAGGCTGCTTCATGCTCGCAGTACTTCTGTTGGCTTCCATGCTTATAGCAGCTTGAGATTTTTCTGGTGGCTCAATGGCACAAATTTACGACCCACTTTTTGTTAGAAACCTAATGAGCCAGTGGCACTGAGCTCACAAGTTTAGAGGGGCTCATTTTTCAGAGTTCAAGTCTCTGGTGAACAGCTCACTGTGATTCGAATAAAAATATGGGCTAAGTATAATTGAGCACTCTCTGGGCAGCTGTAAAGGTTGGTTTGAGAAACCCAGGCTCTGCATTCCTGCTGAGAGCTGTTTGAACATTTGATTCTTTTTGTGCTGGCTAGTTTATGAGTTTCTCACTTGCAGATCTGCGAAGTAAAAATATAGCCCTTTCAAAGGCAGCTCCCAATGGCCACATCCAGGAGATATTGAATAGAAAAGTAGAACAGGTCCTAAAGTGTTTCATCTTCAAGCTGCAAATCCCTTGGTCTGGCATGAGGTGTCTGCTCCTGTCTGGTCAGCTGGTTTTAGCTGCTGCTTGTGGCTACATATCAAGAGGGTTTATTGGTGTCTGCTCACATGTCCCCAGACTGTCTTGTTGCAAAACCACCAACCACAATGAGTCTCAATGGGCACTCTTGGCTCAAAGGAGCCAGGTTTAAGTGCCGATGAAGAATGAATTAGCCTCCATCTTTGCCCTTCCTTAGCCCTCCAGGACAAGGTTAAGATTGAGGACCCATTTTCTGAATAGTGAGATGTCTGCACTTTCCTCTTCTTATTAGTATTGTGGCAGCACTGAGGGATTCCAGTCACAAACCAGGAGCCAGGTGTGCTAGGCGCTGTACGAACAGTACAAATAGACTGTTCCTGCCCCAAAGAGCTTCTCCACAAACTCTATGTGCTATGTTAGGAGATTAACACTTTTGGGGCAATTCTGGAACACAGGAATTTCCTTAATGGATCAGACCCATGGTTCATGTAGTTCAGTGCCTGGTCTCTGACAGTGGTCAGTTCCAGATGCTTCAGAGAATGGTATAAATCCCTCATAATCAACAGTTCTGAAATACACCTCTGTGAGCTGTTCCTTCCTAACTCTAATTGGTGGCTGCCTTATGTCCTGTGTTGATTCCCCTTAGACATTTTGATCCTAGTTAGGGTAACTGTAATTGTCTAGTCTGCTTTTATTCCACTAAACTCTTAGTTTTATTAACATCATGTGTCAGCAAGTTCCACAGGAAACATAAGAACGGCCATACTGGGTCAGACAAATAGTCCATCTAGCCCAGGATCCTGTCTTCCGACAGTGGTCAATGCCAGGTGCCTCAGAGGGAATGAACAGAACAGGTCATCATCAAGTGATCCACCCCATTACCCATTCTGTAATTATATGCAACATTTTAAAAGTATTTCCTTATATCAAACTTTAAATTTCTTGGCCTTTAATTTCATGTAAGCGTCCCATTGTTCTTGTATTGTCAGAGAAAGTAAATAGTCTTTGGATACCATGGATATGCACAAAATATGGGAACCCACCTGACCACTTCTGTAACATTCATTATCTTAGATTCCTCTATCATGTTGCCCTTTACTCTCTTCTCTAACTAATCCCAGTATTTTAAATATAAATATATATGATGATTACAATTAATATAGTATATAATTTCCCATGTATAATAAATGGAAACTAAGATCAGGTAGCCTAGCACAGAGGTCATTTAACAGAGATGGCCCTGTCCCACACTTTTGCCTCCACGGGGGTATTCCTAATTCATACAGTAGATGCAAGGCATGGGTGAAGGCTTGTGTAGGTAAGGTATTGGATCTTTGGAATGAGAACATGCACTATCTCTTTCTTTAGGCTAGAAGGGTATTGCTCCTTGGCTCCCGCCTGTTTTATGACCACTCATAAGGGTGATAGGATTAGCTTAGCCTCTTGTGATACAAGGGAAATGAAGTTTCTGGAGAGCAAGCAATTTTCCACTACCTTGTTTGTGACCAGGAAGGAGTTAACGTTTTGTATTGAATTGGACTTCCTTCTTGTTCTGGCCCTGTGATGGATGAAAGTGAGGATGTGGTCATGCTACTTTCCACCAAGCTCTTAAGGGCAAAACAAAGAACTCAAAGTCTCCGAATCAATACTGTAAGCAACACCATCAATGGCTCAGGAAGGCATATCACAGAAGATTAATAGCACAATGGGGCCCTAGTTTTCTGTCTAATACTCACCAAAGGCTTCAGTACATTGAGGCACAGACCATAGAATTACAGGGCCATCCATTTAGTGGGAAAAAATGTGGCAGTGACTTAAAGAAGAAAGCAATTTCCAATTATTCTCCTGGCGTGTGGAGTAGGAGGAAGAGATGGGTGTCAACATCTAACATAGCTCAGCTGATTCCTTTACACCAGCTACAGGAAACAAAGTGAGCAGCAGCCTGGAAGAGCAGAGTCAAAATCAGCTGCCAAACTCCTGGCACTTTAGTGCACCAAAAAACTTTCTCACTCCTGCAGGGCAAAAGCAAATGCACTCTGCAGGTGGGACGAGCACTTCGACCAGGACTTTAAAATTGAGTGTGTGTTCAGATTCCATGACAGAGGGGCCTAGTATTAAAGCGAAAAGCCTAACCATCTGTATGTTGTTCTCTGATGTTTGGGTGACAAGGTCGCTGCTTCAGGGGTTTGAAATACAATGCACTCTGATGCTTAGGTACCATGGCAATGGATAGGTTCATGTAGTTGCTCAGAGCTGCTCCAGAAGAGCTGGTCAGAGTTATGGTTCTGAAACTTCAGCTTGCTCTGGAAGGATACTACCGCTCTGCTTATGTTTCTATCAAGAAACATAAGCAGAGCCCAAAGTGCGTTACTGTTTGTATTGTGATAGCGAAAGTATGCTAGGCACTGTTCAAACACATAACAAACATATGATCTCTGCCTCAAAAAGCTTACAATGTAAATCTGAGCATCAGCAGACAGGATTGTTGTATAATTGAGGGTCAGGTGAGAATAGGTTTCATTCTCCAAAATAAGAGGAGCCCACAATTTTACCATAGGAAACCTGAGAATTATTTAAGTGGCACGAACATGCTCGGTGCCATACAATAGACAGTCCCTACCCTGAGAAGCTTTACCTCTAACTAGACAACACAAAACGTGACAGGCAACCCATAGGAAAGTTCTGTTTTAGATTGTTGAGTGTGTTTAGTAATGGGGGGGTGGGGGTTGTGATGGCATTTTTGTTGTCAGGGATTAGGATTGTGGGCCTAAGGATATGTTTAAAAAGCTAAACAGTTTTCCCTTTTATAATTAATTTAGCTTTACCAATGCTGCTATAGACTGGACAATATGCCAAATTTAGCAACTGGTCCATCATTCCCTATTAATTAAAGGAAGCTGCTCATCTGACTCTTGGCAGCACATCATAAACCCTTGGTACCCAGCTAATCAAAGCACCACTTTGCAGCAATCAACGAGCAGAGAGCCTTGTGGTTGTTCCTCCCTGTCTCTCTTCAGCAGGAAGCATTGGGGCTCCAAGTTCAAGGGGCACAGCTGGTTTTGCCCAGAGAATAAAGTATCTTAAATCTCTGGCAAAGGAAGAAGGATGAGATGTATCGTGAGGTTTCTGGAAGTGAGGGACTGATAGCTTTGACTAGAACCATGCAGAGTCTGGCTACAGTAGGAAAGCCACGTGTTTAGCAGCTTACAGTGTTGCTGGGGCATCACAGACCTGACATACAGATTCTCTATTTCACTCCTGCCTGCATCCCAGCTCTGTCACATTCTAATATTTCCCAGCCAACCACTGCTGGACCGACAGAGCCCTACCATTGCCTCTTAATTCTGACCTGCAACACCCTGGCTATTAAGGTTCTGGCTCCTCCTCTTCTTCCCACTCAATCCCTGCCCTTGTCAAGGTACCATTCCTGAGACAGCACTGCTTTATGGTGCTAGGCCTCTAACTTTGCCCCAAAGTCACTGATAGATCTAGTGACTTTTGCAACAGGGACAAATCCAGACTAGGGACACCTGTAAGGCTCCCCTCTGCCCCCCCCCCCATACACAATTTGCTTCTCTTGTGCCCTAAGCAACTATTAGAAAGTTATTCTCCAGAAGAGAGACTAGTGTAGAAGAGGCTCTGCAATCCCTACTATGCGAGGAGATGCAGCTCTAGGGGAAATTATCACTGTTACCATTTTTGTTTTTCTTCTTCTAGCTCAGTGTCAGAACAATGCTTTTACTAAGAGATCTGGAGTGATCATCAGTCCCAATTATCCCAAGCCTTATCCCAAACTCTCCACCTGCAGCTACACTATCCGGGTGGAAGATGGCTTCATGATCATCCTGGAATTTGTGGAAACCTTTAACGTGGAAAGTCACATGGAAACAGTGTGTCCCTATGACGCCCTTAAGGTCTGTTGAGTCTCATTGTTTTTTCATCACAGTCTTGGTGGCTGAGCCTACTTTCGTCACTTGCTGCACCTTCCTCAAATCGTACCCTTTATCCCTTGCCCTTTAAGGTTTTCTTGTTTGGGAATGTCACCAAGAACAACACACTTTCATAAGATGATTGGGAAGCAAGATTCCCGGCTTCTATCCTAAGCTCTGCCCTTAACTCACTGTGTGATTTTGGGCAAGTGACTTAACCTCTTGTAGTGACAGCTTGCCTACCTGTGAAATAGACATAATATCTACCTCATGAGGATGTTGTAAGGCTTAATAATATTTCTAAAGCCCTTTGAGATGCTTTGATGAAAGATGCTCGATATGCCATTATTGATGACTTGCTATCAATCAAAATAACTATAGCTTTGTTTCTATTGAACATTTAACAAAATTTATCATCCCCTAAGAGAGCCATAGCTAGAGGTTTGCACAGTCCCCACCTGCATGTCCTATTGAAGTCAAGTTGTATGCTCCTTAGATGATCTGAGTATCCTGGAATGGGCAAAGCACGGTTGTCTGACTCTTCTCACTGTTTCAGATTAAAACACCCAAAAAGGAATATGGCCCATTCTGTGGACAGAACATACCTCCAAAAATTGAGACAGGCAGCAATGTTGTGGATATTACTTTCACCACCGATATCTCCGGAGACCACACTGGTTGGAAGATCTCATACACTACAACAGGTGGGTAGCTCTGTTCTTGCCATTTGTAAATCTAGCTCTTCTGTAGGAGGCAGGGCTGCTGATGCTGATTCCAGAGCCAAATTTCTTTATGCTCATATTAATTCTTGCTACATTCTCAGTCTATCACCTTTTTGACTAGGATCAGTAGTAAGGGTATTTCTGTGAGATCCATTTCACTAGCAATATTGCCACGCTACTCATTTCAAATTAACCTGCACTTCCTGCCGCATCAGGAGCTTGATCATGTAATGAACCTGGTTATTGTGTAAGTGTACCACTTCTCTATACTGGATGGAATCAACTGCACTTCATAGGCTCGATGCTACTCAGCAGTGATTCTCCTTCAGCTCAAGTAGCAAGGGCTTGCGCTTTTGGAGCAGGAGAATTTCTATCCGTGTGAAGTTCCAAAAGGCCAAGGTGTACAGCACAGTAGTAACCGATGCACTGCTGTTTGCTACTGTTCTGTTACACTACCACACAGTGCATCTCTGACACTTCTCCCTACTTAATTTTCAGCTGCAGAGCACTCCCAGGACTTCATTCCAGGGAGGCATACACAGCAAGCAAACCCTTCTAAACTGCTTTCATACTTAGTTTTTACTTGGTTCATTAACCAATGTAAAACCCCTTGAGGAGAGCCAGAACAACAACGCAGGGTGAGATTCTCCTTGGGTCTAGCGTCAGAATTGTCTGGCCTGGCTCTGGCTTTAAGAAACAAGCACCCAGCTTGGTAGAACTATGAACTGGTGTCTAGGCTACAGAGACGCCCTTCACTCCCAGCTTGGGGAAGACTAGTCAGTCCTGTGTGACCCAGAATCGGCGTTGCTAACTGCAGCCATTGGTCATGAGTACAACACAGCAAATTTACAAATTTCTCTATGAAATGTTTCCTTTTGGTCTTAGTTACGCTGTGAGGGGAAAACATGGTATTTGGTTTCCTAATAGCAGATTTAGAAACAAAGATTAGAATCTGCCTTAGGAGGAAGGATAATGTTTTGTTTTCCATCCCGCTACAGCTTTGCCATGCCCCAGTCCTAAAGCACCACCCCATGGTCACATCAATCCAGTGCAAGCAAAATACATCCTGAAAGACTACTATACTCTGTCCTGTGATACTGGATATGTGCTGTTGGAAGTAGGTAAACCAAAGCTTCTCCTTCTCTGGTTTCCCTAGGGAGGTTAATTTGTGGAATTAAATGTGTTTCTCTCCAGTTAGCCACTGTACAAAGTAATTTAACGTCTGTACTGCTCCTAGTGTAATTGTGGGTGCATCAACTATACACACACAGTTTGCATTAGTTATTTTTGCAGTTGTGGTCCTTCCGAAATTGTCCTTTCCCAAACAAGTTTTAGTGTCCAGATTTAGAAGCTTTCTGGACATCACTTACAGTTTTGTCTGTAATTGAGTTGGGAGCTAGAGAATAACTTTAAAAATGTTTACCATGTTGACTTAATGGAACAGAATGATTTTTTAAAAAATTCTTTAAATTGTTACTACATCTATGCAGAGGGAGTTTTTAAAACTAGATGTTTGCTCTCTATTGCTGCACTAGAAGACATTTTACATTCAGTCCTATAGCATTTCAACTTCAGTGTTTATGAGGTAATTTCTGAAGATATTCCAAATACAGCACCCACTCAGAGCAAGCTTCTGAGATCACAATTTGGCTCTTATTATTTAGTTTCACACAGGCTTATCTTCATGATCAATACAAAAAGTGTACTAGCTCCACATTAATGGTCTTTCCATTTTCTACACATTCACTAAGATTCTAGAATCTATCCTGCTTTTGACAGTTTGAGGACATTGCTGTTCATGTACATACCTAGGATAACTAAATGCATCTGAGTTGTGTGAGTTTAAATGAATAATCAAAATGAGATGCAGTAAAGGGTCTGTTCATGTAGCAAAACAGATAAAATCCAGAAGATACACCATGCTCTTACTTGAATATTTTTATATTACTTTAGCCGTCTCCATTGTTAACCATTAGGAGCACACAGCAGGCATAAATGGGTAGAACTGCTACTCCAAAACAAATATCCAGAACTGTTAAGTTACCCTCACTTATTCCATCAAATAGTGGTAAGAAAGGTTATGTTTGTGTCCAAGATGAGTGCAGTATAGGAAATACCTTTTCCCCTCACTAAAATGATATATCTACTGTTTAAGAACAAAGTAGGACATCTGAGAATCGCATCACAAACCTGTATAAATCTGTTTTATGCATATTTTTCATTCCATATCAGTGAGCTAAAACCCTATACATTATATTTAACTGACGCATTCTCCCAGTGAGCAACATCATGATTATTAATGAAGCCAAGTAAGTAATTTTAGAGAAATAAATACATTTCCTATTTTCCTCTTGCAGAATGAACTGGTTTTAAAGTCTTTTAAAGCAGAATGTCAAAAGAGTGGTTCCTGGAACAAACCAATTGCAAAGTGCATCAGTAAGTCAACACTAATTGTTTTCAACTTTGCAGTATACCAATGTCTCAATTCTTCTGTCAAACACAGAATATAAAATTACCTTCATAAGTGCCAAGATGTAGGAGGCAATATAGGTTTGATGGGTTTTTTTTTAGTTGCGTAAAAGTCACCCCTTTTATTATTTCAAATGTATTTCATATTCAAAAATTGGAAGCTGCCTTGATTTTTTCCACCATTCTTTAAAAGCATGTTTTAAAAAGCAATGATGGTAGCAACACGAAGTTAATTTACTTGGAAACTATACTACAGGTATCCAGAAACTGATCAGAGCTATTAGCATAGAGGGAAAACTATTCCAATTGTTCAATACCTCCCCTCACAAATTACAACTACTTTGTGTTAAGTAAGTTCAAATCCTCACAACACCTAGGTGGTACTGCAGGTAGCGACATACCCATTTTGTAGGTGGGTAAATGGAGACACAGTGAGGTAAAAGGACTTGGTATAGCTCAGCAAGCAAGTCACTAGCAGGTGGGAACAGAATCCTGAAGTCCTACTTCCCAGTGTCTTGCTCTAAGAACTATTAGGCATAGTCTCTTCCCTTATAAGAAATGTAGAATTCTAGATTTATCCATACTTCCTTCTGGGCTGTGTCATAACAATTACCAATATGAACGACATACTGTAGATAGTAGACTGGTCTAGATTAGAATGCAGGTTTGTTTCCTTGTAAGGCCCTGGGTGTAACTGCTTCCAGAACCCAAAAGTGCTACCTTTAACTTTAATTTTACAAAAATGTGTGTGTCTGGTTGCATTATAATTTATTCTTCAGAAGATAGTCCAATAATTCCACTTGACCCAGACTTTCCCTCATATTCACCATCCAACCTCCTCCCCCACCCCCAGGAAAAAAGTTGGGTAAAACAAGTCTTGCACTGTTCCCTCCCTGTAGAGCGTCACTCAAGAGTCGATGCACAAACAGTGAAAAGGGCCATTCTTTTTAAATGTCTTCTCTAGTTTTAAAAAGTTCCCTTTAAGCAGCTTTCAAAGTGCATCCTAAAGAGCTACAGAGATTATCTCCTGTCTCCGATGGCCACTATATAGTAGGACATGAAGACAGCAAACTTCCTTCCATGACACACTCTCAACAGGGGTAGGAGTGAATCAGCTCCTGCCCTCCTGGCTTGACTGTTGCAGCCCATTTTTACGTTGGTAATTAGAAGAACCTTTCACAATTCTGTCTTTCGGAACTGTTTTCAGTTGTTAACTGTGGTCGACCTGAAGACATAGACAATGGCACGATTACTTACATCACAGGACCAGAGGTGACCACCTACAAAGCTGAGATTCAGTACAAATGCGAGAGCACCTTCTACACTATGAAAGCAAGTAATAATGGTAAGGGGAGACCTTATTCCTTACAGCCTGATCCTCAGACGCTGAGAACAAGCAACTCCTGACATCAGTGCTCAGCACCTCCCAGGTCCCGGCCCTGCATTAGGCAAGAACATTTAGAAATCAGGCATGGAGCACAACAAATTCAGCCAGTCACTGTGACTGAGAGGTTCAAGACAGTATTTTTCTCTGCAGCTGGTGAATGCGTGATGGTGCAGTAGCATGTACTGGCAATACTTCATTCAGATCAGTAGAACGTGGCCCTAAAAGATTATATAAAAGATTAGTTTAATGTTGATCTCTTTGATTTAAGAAACGATCCTTGGGTGAGGGCTGGCTCTGGAATGCTACAAAAGATCCGTTTCAGAGGATTTAATTAATATACCTAACACTTCATACATGTCCCTTACCCTTCAGGGTGTGGAATTTACATTCAAGTCACATCTGAGGGTGCCACTTTACAAGTGGCAGTGGTGGCTTTAGGCTTAGGTAGGATACTTATGCTGCATAAGACCCTGACCACCCACATCTCACAGCCCAGTTAGAGAGAGGGATGATGCACAGAGCCACCTTCCCATAGGAATTCACAAAATCTAAGAGGGTAGTAGGACCTGAACTCTGAGAATTGAAAAACCTCTGTACTTATATAGTCAGATACAGCCACGTTCTGTAGATGCAGAGCTTTAAAAACATGCTGGCCACTTAACATGTGCATTCTTGCCTTTTCTATGACATGCAGGTAGATACCAGTGTGGTGCTGATGGATACTGGAAGAACTCCAAGAGAGAAAAAACTCTGCCAATCTGTGAGCCAGGTAATGTATGAATTTATACAAGGAGTTTATAATTGATGTAGATTAGCAAGAACTTGATATCAGGATAAGAAGTGCAGCTTTGTTTAGTATAATTTTTCTTATGAGTGGTCTTTAAATAGTGTCGTTGCCAAAAATTACACTAGTACCTGGTCCTTACTCATTACGTTCTATACAAGGATCTGGCAGCATGTTGGGTACCCTTCAGGCATGCCTGGATTCTCTCACCTAACCCATGCCTCATCGTCTATATTGCTATTTATAATCATGCTGGTGGAGCTACCCATTTAGGTACTCCACATGCTGCTGACATATGACATATCCAGCATAGACATACCTGTAGAAGTGGTGTCATCCGAGACTCAACAGGATGGGGAACATGATATAATTACAGTAAAAGATAAAAGAAAGACACATTGATGGGTCTAAATTTTCACAATATCCAGAGTTTAGCTAGGGTTCCTTTAGTCACTAATTCTTTTACAGTGGTCCCCATTTTTAAGAATCCCTCTTTTGTCCTTCTCCTGCATTTTCCACCATTGTTAACATGGAGGCTTGAAGCTGAGCACCTCTCACGTCCCATCAGGACAGTGGGAACTGTGGATTCTCAGGACCTCTTAAGCTCATACCTGATTCTGTCTGACCCAATTTACAGTAGAGCAGATGCCTCTTTGAGCCTGGTACCAGAGGCAGGAAAAAGTTTCACAATAAAATTAGAATTTCTTAGTTTGTATAGTCAACATAGGTACAGTTTGCATGAGTATCAGGCTAAAGCAGAAAGACTTGAGTGAAAACAAGCCCATTGTCAGGTAGTTTTACTGCAGAATGTCATGATTTTGAATGTTTGGGCAATTAAATTACTGACTTTGCAACATTGCCTAATTAGCTGGTATTTAGAGAGCATTGTATGCCAGTGTGGATTATACATGTGTACCATGCACCCATAGTCAGCGAATTTGAAAGTAGCATTTACTGCTCTGTGCACGCACCCTGGCTCGCCTCCCACTTCCAACCAAGGTAATAGATTGTGGGGCAGACATACTACCTCTTCAGTTCCTTCTCACTGCTGCACGGCCCAGGTTGAAGCCTTTAGCGACCTCCTAGATATCGGTAAAGCAGCCACATAGCGCTCCATCCACATTTGCAAGGCATTACACCCTGCTACAGGACTCGGCTGCGGATGCATCCTTTGGGATGGAGGTTCTCCATTCAACCCTACTGCCCTTATCCTCACACCTACCTCCTCCTTAGGTACTACTTGTCAATCACCCACAGTGGAATACAACAGCGACCATCACTTGAAGAGGAGGAAATTACTTACCTGTAACTGGAGTTCTTAGAGATGTGAGATCCCCCTATCCACTACCCACACTCCTTCCCCTCTGCTTCAGATCTTATCTGATTTGCAGTGGAGAAGGAACTAAAGAGGTGGTTGGCCCACTCTGTCCTTTATTACCCCAGTCAGAAGCACAAGATGAGCCAGAGCACATGCACAGACCAAACCAACACTACTTTCAAATTCTCTGACTCTGGGCACATGCATAACCCACAGTGGAATACAGATAGGGACCACACATCTCAAAGAACTTCCAGTTACAGGTAAGTAACTTTCTCATCTTCTCCTTGTGCCCAAACTTTATATGTAGCCTCTTTCTTTATTTTTAAAGTAGGATTCTTCAAGTCATGGTCCCTACATGTATTCTGCTCACAGTGCAAGAAATTAAAGGTGGGATTTTCAGAAGTGCTTAAGTGCGCTAGGAGCCCAAGTCCCCCTGAATATCTCACCCTAAATCAATATTATCTGACAGCATCAACCCATTTGCGAACTTAAATTTGCAACTGTGCTCTTGTCTAGGTTTTCAGGCTGGTCACAGATGAGAACTAAAAATCATTTGCAAATGATTTCACTGTTCCAAAATTGATTAACTAGTTAGAAGCAATGTCTACACATGGTGACTTCAGCTGAGCCAGACTTAGTAACCAGTTGTCATACTCCAAATCTTTACTAAATATTTATCACTTCATGTGCTTCTCTCCCATCAGTTTGTGGAATACAAACGAGGACAACCCTGGAACGTATAATTGGAGGGAAAAGGGCAAAGCCTGGACAGTTCCCCTGGCAAGTTATGCTAATTAATGAAGATGGAAGCCTAGGCGGTGGCGCCCTCTTGTATGACAATTGGGTTTTAACTGCTGCTCATGCAGTCATCAATCAAATGGACCCATCAACTTTGACAATCAAAATGGGATTTCTGGACAAAAATTCAGCTCACTACCAACAAGCCTGGGCAGAAGGAATTTTTGTACACGAAGGTTACAGTGATGGCATGAGTTTTAACAATGACATTGCCCTGATTAAACTGAAACATAAAGTCCCAATTAATTCAAATATTACACCCATTTGCTTGCCAAGAAAAGAAGAAAGATTCCATGTGAAAACAGATGATATGGGAACTGTAGCTGGCTGGGGAAGAACTGAAAAAAGGAGGCTTTCCCCTCATCTACTGTATGTTGAATTAGTAGTTATTGACAACAGAAAGTGTAAAGATGCATTTGCAAAGCTGCCAAGTGGAAAATCTCTGCTAATAACAGAAAACATGTTGTGTGCTGGGGAGGAAGAAGGGGGAAAAGATTCTTGTCAGGGTGACAGTGGGGGACCATTAACTTTCGTAGACAGCCTGACTAAGAAATGGTTTGTTGGTGGTATTGTGTCCTGGGGCGTAGACTGTGGGGTTGCTGGCCAATATGGGGTGTACACGAAACTGATTAACTACATTTCGTGGATTGAAAACACCATTTTGAAAAATTCTTAAATAGTCTCTTATGTGCAGTGACAATGAAAAGTGAGTAAAAATAACATTCTCCCTTTTGGTACATTAAGACATTTAACAGATCAGATTCGTTTTGTAATATTTTTAAAGTTGATTTAATAGATTTCAGTTTGTGTCAATTAATACTTTCAGGTGTTATATCTGCCCAACTAACCTAATCAATTAGTTTTACACTCAAATCTTACTTTAAAGTTGCTTTCCATACCTGTTGATAGGTGGAAGGCTCAAAAGATCAAGGGAAACTGTGCACGTAGCAGCACCTTGTTTAGTTCATGTAAATAAACTAAAAAAAAGCAGATTACAGAAAACTCAATCTTAGGTGTTAAATACTTTCCATCTGAAAGTTAGTGTTAAGTTTGCAAAAAGAAAAGGAGTACTTGTGGCACCTTAGAGACTAACCAATTTATTTGAGCATGAGCTTTCGTGAGCTACAGCTCACTTCATCGTCCACTTAATGTCATGGATCCCATTCCTTTTAAAAAATACACATGTAATGAAACTATAGTAATGCCAATCTAGTTAATAGAAGAACATACTTGTTGACAGGTGCGAAAGTTTAGCACTTGTTATATTAGCACAGCCATAAATATTCCCCCTCAAGTTAGAATACAAATGTCAAAATCAAAAATGTTGACTAGTTCGAGACACTTGCTGCCTCTGATAAAATCCCAACAGCTTCAGCTGGACAGCTCTGCAAGACGATGGCAGAGTATGGACCGAACGTTTCTGCTCTATTCTTAAGAGCCAGTTTAGACGTAACTAAGAACAGAGTAAACACCCTTAATAATAATTGCAGGGATCTTATTATAATAATCTGCCTCTACAAAAACAAACAGAGTAGAGAGTTAGTACAACCAAGATTCCTAAGGTGTTTTATCATTTACAGTCATCACTGAAATGTAATTAATAAATTAATAAGTCATGTAGTGGTCCAGTCTCAGTACTCACTCATATTTAAAGCAGTACTGCCCAGGAAACTGTCAACATCCCATCAGTTTTAGCAGTACATTCCCACTAGTCAGATTAAAAAAGATTTAGCAGGTTACCCTAAAAAGTTTGCTCAGAACCTTTTATACTAAAATGTAATTTTTTTTATTTTTTATTGCTAAATGAGCCTGAAGAGTATACCCTAATTATATTAAAAACTGGTTGTTTCTACGATCATCTTTTGTCTATTTAATCATGTTATTGTAATACATACTTGAAATGAAAATTGTTAAAAGAACAAGACAACGCTCACAGGTGGTGACAAAAATACCTTTTATTAACTCACTTAAAACATTAGAATATAAAAAGCATTTAGAGAAAATGACCAATAAAGTCTGAAAATGGCTACAAAACTTTCAGGAATTTCTTTGAGGGTCAGGAGAGAATAAAATTCATAGTAAAGATTACCCAGTGCTGCCAACCTGTTAATACCAGATCCTCAATTTAAACAAGTTTAAACAAATTAAAGCCATGCTAATGACAAACTTACCATCAGGTTCCTTGCAGGGATGCCACCGTTTAAGTCTTTGGAGGTCCCAGAATACCATTTTTAACTGTTACTCAGCAGCAGTAGCTGGTAATAGTGCAAGTGCTAAAATGCAAAATTCACAGATGGTACAGAGTTTGGAAATAGTATCTGATTTAGGTGCAGAAAAATTAAACTTTTTGCAAAGGGATTTGAATAGTGAAAAGATTTGGGATTACAACTTATTTCTGGAGAGATCACAACCCCCTTTGCATTTTTTTTCCAAGTATGTAGATTGAGACTTAGTTTCCAGTTATCCCCTTGGACTGGAGTTAAAGTAATACCAGTGCAAACAGCTAACAAAAATTAGATGGTCTCCGCTTCATGAGAAACCACACTGAGATACAAATAAATAGGATACATCCTAATTAAGATCCACTTTATGAACTTAAATATCCAAGTCAAAGCAGAAACTAACGTAAATTGCCCTAAATCTCTGTATTCAGAAGCTGCAGAATATGAAATAACGTAATAAAAGGATCAGTGTGGTGTTGGATTTCAAGCACACACTAATCAATTTCTGAAGATCTAATACTTATGGAAATAACCTTGCTGGATGTGTTACTACTGGATACATTTCTCTTTTGGAGATAAGAAGCCTCTTATAAATTCATCAATACTTTCTTCAGATGGACATTCTTCATCATGAGCTAATATTTTATTTTAGCCACAAGTTTACAGTTTCTTCTGTGCTGAAATTAGAGCGGGAATATTTTCCCTTTGGTTCCCAATCAGCAGGCTGATTGTAAAGCAGCCTACAATATTTATTTTGCTTTACATTCTCATCCTCAAAGGAGCTGCTTTGGAAAATACATTTAAGAGCAGCAAGTCTACTGACAGGTATAAGTGTTATCTACTTCCCCCATCACCTGTTCTCCCCAATTCCAAAAAAAAATCCACCCCACTTCCTAAAAAACAAGTAGGAGTTTCCTTGGTGAGGATGCAAGCTGGAGGGAATGTCTTACCATTTTAGGTGAGGGTACCCAACCTTGTGAGAACTGGATTTTAGGTATGTATCACAGAACAATGCAAAAATAGACAAAGGATTACAAGTTGGGTGTCAGGTATCAATGCATGATGAGTGATGGATCCATTTGACTTGTCAACTTTTAAAGCATGCTTATCTGAAACAAACTGAATTACTGCAAAAACAACTTTACGGAAGTTCATCTCAAAGGACAAAATAAATTAACTGCTATGAATTCTTTGCATTCAGGGCTGCAAAACAAAGACACATATTACTTAAATCAGTTTTATTTAAGAATTTCCTACATTGACAAATCTTATAAAAAGCATCCAAACACAGAACTGCAGCAAACAGCATTCTTATGGATATCTTACAGACAGTGGAACTTCCACCCTTAAGAGGCACACTGAGCTCGCTAGTGAACTCTGCTACAACTACCGCAAAGCACACCACAAACTCAATGTTCTCGTCACAAACCCCATCATCTTCAATTCACATTACCACACTTACATATCATTAACAGAAAAGAACACACACCATACAACATTCACAGCAGTTGACATAAGGGAAAAAAAAAATACAGATATTCATTTCACTTAACACATTCAACTAATTGGTTAACTAGGTATAACACCCATTTAGTCTTCCAGATATGGATGTCCTTTGAATGCAAGAAACACTCGTACTTTATTTGCTATCATTGCTCTCTGCACACTCTCTCACCAAAGCCACAGGATTGAGAGACATCTCGCCAAGTAAAATAAAATCCCATAATGCACCACCAGGTCTCTGCATGCGCTCTCTCCTTTTTCTCGCACATACCAGCCCTCTCATGCCTCGGCAACACCATCAATCCCACACAAGGTTTCAAAAGTTCAAACAGCCTTCTGGTTCCATCTCACAGCCTTGCGTTCATAGCGTTGATACGACTCCATGAAATAAAGAGTAGCGGATAAAAATGGAACACCCACCGTCTAAGACGTAGCATGTGCAGTGTGATGAAGTATTCTTGGATGAGAAAGCATGTAGACAGAAGTATTCCTAAAGCAGAATATTTACAGCACTGCTTTCAATTAAGTGCTTCTTCCATACACATTGAAATGAGATGAACTGCAGAGGTTAAATGAAGCCTTCATATTGTACTTAGTATATGAGGGGAGACAGTGTTAAAAGGAAAACAAAAACAAAAACCAACAACACTGACACTGTGTTCTCCAACTGGGGCATTTGGAGAGATTCTTATGGTGGGGATCAAATTAAAACAAACAAGAGGAAAAGAAAGAATGTAGTTTCTGACCAATGGTTTCCTTTTTGAACATGCAAAGAATTAAGCTGACAAGGAAACAAGGAATAAAATATTACAGGAAAAATCCTTCCTCTCAATTGTAGTGTGTTAGTTTACCCATCAGGCAAACAGCAGTTCACTTTCAACCATTCAATATTCCAACAAATTATGTAACAAAACTTATAAAATTCCTTTAACCTTTCTTTTTACAAAAGAAAAATGTCAAAAATACTGTTGAATATACTGCACATTGAACAAATTGATCAGGAAAATTTTAGTATATATGCAATTTACAATATACTTACCATGAGTTTAGAAAAATTTGATTTCCCACCATAGAGTCAATATCAGAGCCCACCGTCTACATTCCCCAGCCTGACGATTTGGAATCCATACTTGAACCAAAGCCTCCATTAAACCCACTGCTTGATCCTGCATTTGATGCTGACCCCCAACCTATTGCTGCTCCAGAGTTAGATCCTCCGTAAGAATTACTTCCTGAACTAAAACCCTGGTTCTGCTCCCTTTGCATGTTGCCTTGAGGCTGGTTGTTTCCTGATGGCCCAGACTGGTTCTGTTGACTAGCTAACATGCCCATCATTCCCCAACTGCTCTGCAACGCTGCCTGGGCTGCCGCCATCATTGCAGGATTGATACTAAATGCTCCAAAATTCATCCCTCCACCCATATTACTGCCCTGGTTGTTTCCCAAACCACCTCCTCCCCCCCTGCTATTACCAAATCCACCCTGATTCCCAAAGCCTCCTGGATTACCACCAAATCTTCCACCTCTTTCTAACTGTCTATTGCTATTGTGCTTAGGTTCAGCATTGGATATATGTACGCTGATTCCTTTAATGATCAAGTCCTCTCCACAAAGAGACTGGGCAACCTATAAGAAATAAGGGATGTAAATAAATATACAATTAGACCATTTTTTAAAGTACTTGTTACAGCATAACAAGACAAACCACATGATTCTGAATATATTTGTAAACTGTAAAGGAAGGGTGTGTGAAGATTTGACACAAACTAAAAACAAGATCCTTTAACTTTACTGAATACACTTAAGTTAGTCTAGTGTGAAGATCCATATACACAGTACCAGCTGAAAAGTGTGAATCTGTAGACATGAACTGTAAGCATACTAATGTAATTCAATAGAAATTCAAAGTACAACTGAAATTCTCAAATTGCAATGACAAAAACAAGCACTGTATATTCAATTCCAATAATTACATGCTAAGTGACAGTGTTTGTCAACATTTATGGTCAGAATGGTAAAGAGAGATATTTAAGACTTAGGAAACGGTTCCTAAATGTCAGGAGCTAAAATATTTTAAATAAATACCTGATCATCTGCAAATGTAACAAAGGCAAAAGCTCTGAAGGGTTTGGGGATGAAGACATCTACCACCTCTCCATACTGAGAAAAGAACTGCCGGAGCTCATCTGCAGTCATATCCTCAGTGCAGCGCCCAACGAACACCTTTCTGCTGCGCAAAGGTTCATCAGGACTTTGCTGGGTAGAATTGCAGGAAAAGAAATAATGACCAAAACACTGCAATCATCCCTCTGAATACTAAATACAACTTAGTTTCTTTTGTGATAGAGAACTTCATAAACTATTAACCGGGGTACGGGGGTGTATCATAGTTATAGGAAGATCGAAAGAAAAGCAACCCTCCAGTTGCTCTCCACTCTACCCGAGATAATGTAATTAAAAATCGTACCACCTGAGAGGAAGACTGCAGGGATGAACTTGGAATTCCTGAGTAGATGGAAGCAATCTTACTCCCTAGGGCCTTTACACTAGACATTTTAGGGAAATCTTCTATCTTTGCTCTTGTAGTGGTGCAGTATTGCTGACAATGGTGGAAACACCAGTATATACTGACCACAGCCATATCTACCACCACATAATCTAGAGCTCTTCTGATGACTGGATATTAATTTACAACGTCTTGCTGAAGGAGCATCTCCGAGGGGTGGTGCCAGGGGCATATATGTGAAAAATAGAGAGTGGAAAGGAAATGAGACTTGAAAAGTGATGGCAAATGAGGATTGGTTAGGTAGGCAGCAGACCATTCCTTGCGCTGTAAATCCTTCAGTTGAATACGTATAGAGCGAGGAAATATGCATAGTCCAAAGTGTTGGGTTCTGTTCCCTGCTCTGCCACTGACTCCGTCTGGCCTTAGGCAAGTTATCTACCTATCCTCTGTGCCTCACTTTCCTCCCTTCCGCAAAATGAGGACAGTATCTGAAGCAGGGGCTGCTAGACATTTATGTCGTCGTCAGGCTGGTTTTTGTAGTTTGCAGACTGGACATCTTCTCCCCTGTGCTTAGTTGTTTTCTCAATCCCCCATCCCACTGTTCCTTTATCTAACCTCCAGGCTCCACTCCTTCCTTTTGTTTTCTCAACCACCTCGAGGATACCTTTAAAGTCCCCCTCTCCCTTTGTCCATATATCTAATCCCCTCTTCACTCTACAGGATTCTTTAAAGGAGTGCATATTTTGTTTCTACAAACGCTAAAATAATTTAAGGAACGATACCTTAGAATTAGGTAGTTTACAGTCACACCATCTTCCATCTATCATGTGCCGTTGAGACATCACTTTCACCTGGGTTTCATACTCCGTAAATCGAACAAAACCAAATCCCTTTGAGTGACCAGTCTTAATGTCTTTCTTAACCTAAGGCGGAGGGGAGGGAGAGAAAGAAAAAGATGATCTAGATAGCTGAAATACTGAAGCAGTAATATGCACTGGTATTCTTAGCCTAGCTGCAACTCATGCTAATCAGCAGTCTTTTCCAAGATCAAAAGGAATGCTAGGATTACCAAAGCATGGTTAAAAGAGTGTAATGTGAAAAGTTTTGATCCTGTCTTAATGAGGCTTCTATATCCCCCATGAAAAGGCCCCTGGTACTAGCAACGACAGTACACAAAAGCTTTTGACAGTTTCATACTTACGAAATCAGGCTGTGGATTACCATTACACAAACAATGTTCAAAAGAGTGTGGGTTTGATGCATCGTGGCAAAGTGCTAATCCAATATCCATATAAAACAAACCCTTAAACCTAAACTCAAACTTATTGTTAAAGTTAAGTTTCAAATTCAAACAAGAACTGCAAAAAGTAAGTCTTCACAAATGCTACAACTACCATACCAATAAACTAATATGCAAGCACAAAAACCAAACACCACACAATGGGCCATATCATGTCTCGTTTACACTAGTGTAACATCAGAATCATCCCCTTTTGAGAAATCGGTCTCGACAGGGGTCAACGACCTGAACACATACCAAGATACCTCCAAGAAAAAATAGCATACTGCAAAGCAAATAGAGTAAAGCAAATTTTAATGTTACAGCAGTTAAAGATGTGCTTTTAAATTTAATTGCCCTTTTTGCCTTGTACTGGCTCATGCAGGAAAAACTTCCATCTGAATTCACAGCTTTTGACTCAAGTAGAGAGTCAAATACAACAGAAATTTACCTGCACCATGAGAACTTCTCCAAATGTACTGAAATATTCCTTTAGATCTTGTTCAGTGGTTTTCCAGGGAAGACCCAAAACTATTAAATCAGATGTCTTTTGTACTGCTCGTTTTACTTTTACAGCTGATGAGGCATCTGTTTCATCCATTTTCCTCTTGTTATCTGAATGTAAAGATGTACATCAGAAACTATCATCTCCGCATTACATCAAAGGAAAGGAAAGCTACTTCCATTAGTCGGAAGCAGCACAGCACAAGGATTAGATCCTTTTTTGCAGGATGTATTGCGAAAGCTAAGAACTGGGAAGAGATACATACTATTTGCTGCATATATGTTATAATCTGCATCCAACTGCCCTACAGTATTGGGGAGAGGAGTGCAGAAGACGAGCAGACTCAAACTCTCATCTAAAACACACTTTAAGCTTGTTTTCCACTGAAGTACTGCCAAATAACATTCACATGCCTGACCAGAGGTTGTGTGTATTATACATCGTTTGAGACAACAGCTACTCAGTGAAAAAGGAAAAGTGCTCTCCTTACTTTTCCCTTTCCTTTTCTTCCTTCACCTTTCCCACACCCTCCCCTACAACACTGATGTCTTTGGCCCTGATCATATAATTAGCGTCACATGGGCAAACCTCAGCCCTGCACGGTACTCACTGTGGTATCATACCTTTGGAAGTTATCTATATAAGATTGTTAAATGCCTTACAAACAGGAGGACAAAGTCCTATTTGTAAAGTACCTTGTACAATTATGGTGCTAAATAATAGCGAACTCTCTGAAATTCATTCTGTGGGCCAGGCACACACTTTAAGTTGCTGCTATGGTTTGACAGTAAGATAAGAGGAAAACATAAAAACTAAGGAACCCATAGATCTTGATATAAAATTCCTTGTAAATAAGAAAGTATGGTTGTACCAAAAATGCATGGAACAAAGACAAACCTTTGGGATAATTAACAACATAGACCAGATTTCCCCAGCCAGCATCTGGAGCATGCAGAATTCCTTCTACTAGCCGGACTCCTCTCATACACTGAGACACTGGGTTCCTGTAACGCAGGCCACATGCTCCCGGGAACTGGGCAGTTACTGTGGATAGCAGCACAGTGCCATCATCCTCTGAAGGGATCTCAATGGGCTCATCATTCTCATCCTCTGTAACACGGATGTATTCAGACATCTTTGCTGGATTTTACTAATGGATTAAAAAAAGAGGGCCTCAGCAATTTTTTATTCTCTTATTTTGTTCATTTTTAATCTCATAATAAATCAGTTTGTTTCTCTGTAAAACACCGACAATGCTTTTCTTCCTAGGCACTAGGAACCTACCAAAAGATGTTGCATTTTATCTTCTCTAAGCTTTAAGTTTGTTATGTTCTAACAACATACATATAAAGTGACATTTATGGGCAATGCCTGGAGAGGAGGGATCATGAACAAAGTTATTTAAAACTATGAAAGAAAGAGAATTTGTTCACAATCTGCAATGATCTCACCAATCACCCCAACTGAGGGGATGGGGCAAGAGCCAAGTTTGTGTGGGATGGGGTGCAGGGAAAGAACCCAACCAACTGGCATTGCTGGGAGGAGAAAAAAGGGGGGAAGCCAAGGACCAGACCACGCTGGAGCGGGCGGTGGAAGGCAAAGGGGGAGAAGGGCTCAGACCATTTCCAAGAGGGTGGAGGGGTGAATGTCCAGATCATCCTGGGGAGAGGGAGTCTGGGATCGGGGGAGCAGAGAGGTCAGACCATAGGGAAAGGGAAGAAGGGAGTCAGGACCAAACCATTTCCGGGAGACGGACATGAGACCACATGCCTAGCCGATAGGCTGCGCCCAAATGAGGCCTAGCTTATAAATCACACCCCCGGCTAGGCCTCACTAGCGAGCCCAGCCTCTCTCGAGCTCCAGGCTGGGCCTAGCTCCCTGCGCCCCCCGGCCCGCTCAGGCAGAGCCCAGCCGCGGTTGAGGCCCGAAACGCCAGAGCCTCTAGCTCTCCGCCGCGGTCTGCTCACGGGGGCGGGGGAAGCTTACATGGGGCGAGGGGCCTCCGGGTGCCTCCACCTTCCTCTCCTGCAGCCGCTGCTGACAAAATGGCGGCCCCCGGCGGCAGAGCCCTGCCTCGGGTTGAACCATTCCTCCCGCGGGGGGGCCCAGCTGGAAATAGACTGGAAACAGCCAACGCCAGGAACTTGGCCTGTTTGGAACCAGGTAGAGCAGAGCTCACATAGGCCTTCGTGTCCTTCGCTCGGGATGTGCGGAACCGTGCCTCCGGGCAGGGACGGTAGCAAATCTGGGATCCCCCCCACATACTGCAGAGTAATGGTACGATCCGCTCCGCCGGCAACGCGCATGCGTACGGCGGGGAGGGCGGAGAGATGGGAAATTGGCGGGAGGGCGTGTGAGGGAGGGCTTAGCCTTGGCCGGGGCGTTACTCCCCTTTAAGGCAGGCGAAGCTTATGGGAGCCTTAGCACTGACCCCCACCAGCAGTAGGCCTGGAGCCTTCCTCTGTAATGTTAACGCAGCTTTCTTGCATTTAATTCCCTTGGGTTTTTGCCCTTAAAGACAAAAGGACCTTTAAGGTTAAGGGAGTTGGGGAGCAGCAGGGCAGCAGCTGATGTTTTGCATTGTTTGCCTGCTGCTCAATGCAGTGGCTCCTGCATGCACCGAAAAGCCCAGTGAGCTCTGGATGGCATTGTGCATGGTTTGTGCAGCCTCTCGCATGGCACGGACAATGATGCCACTGATAATTTAAGGGGGGGTTGGCTGTACATGTGTGAAACTTGTTTCAAGTACTGATCAAAAGCTCAAACTCCCATATTATTTTACATTGCTGTGGAGTGAAGTGTGAAGGCCAGCTATTTTTTTGTTCCTTGGGCACAGAGAAATGTTTCATTTTTTAAAAATGAGGTAAGTATTTGTGTACATATGTGCGCACACGTTCTCAGACCAAAAAAAAACAAACAACCCAACAAACCCTCTTAACATGAAGTTGAGACTGAGAAATGTAAGGGTAAAAACATTAGAGATGGTGTAACAAAACAAGCATTACAACACATGAAATTCAGACTTGATATGGAAAAGCACATTTAAGGCACCCAAACCACTTTAACTCTTCCCTATAGTTAAGCCCCTTCGTTTTCAGTTTAAACCAATTTTTACCAAAATATTCCCAGGTTTTTCAAAAAATATTATTCAGGTTTTTCTGATTTTCACCCTACTTTTTTATCATTCAAACATAAAAATAACTTGTTTTATTAGGAAAATACAATACCTTGCATGAGATATATGTATTATGATAATACGTTAGTCTGTGTGTATATGCAAAGCTGCCTGTTGAAGTAAGGCTATGTATTAGTCTAGAAGATGCAGGCACACATGCAAGCTCTGAACTGTGTGCACGTCTGAACGTACTGATGAATCTCATGTACGCATTCAAGCTGTTAGATAACGGTTTAAAGATCTGACACACTAAAATGGGAAGAAAACAAAAATCTGTATCAGAATATGTTTCAGAACACTAGGAAGTATTCAAAAGTTGAAAGAAAAAACAAAAACAGGAGAAAAGGATGAAGTTGCGTGTATGCGCTACAAACGGTGTGGCCCAATTATTAAATGTAAATATTTATAGGCTAATAGTTCTAAGTCTACAACAGTAAATTGTTTATTCAAATAAAAAGTTTTATTTGATTAGAGATATATTGTTTTCTTAAACTCAAAGGTGGCGTGTTTTGATTTCTGTTTTGGTTCTGCAGCAAACCACACTGATGAACGGAATTCAAAGCACTAATCAACTGAATACTTTTCCCCCCATCTTTCCATCTACCAAAATAAACCTCTATTTTACCCAGAAAAAATAAGTTTTTGGACTGATTTTCACCTGTTTTTGTTGCTGTGGTAATAAACACTGATAAATTCCCAGGAAAAATTAAATAAAATAAAAACTGAAAATGAAGGGCCCTACCTATAGTGATGCAATTCACACTAATATTTGTAGTCCCAGATTAAATTAAACTGACTTCTAAAGACACTTTTTTTTTTCATACTAAATCTGAGGTAAGACACTCAAACAAATGTGACTCTTCCCTGTAATGACAAAAAATCAGTTTACTTCAATCTTGGATTGTAAGCCCAGATGCTCAGTGGTATTTAGGAGCCTAACTCCCATTGATTTCAGTAGGATTTAGGTGCCTAAATACCATTGAGGATGAGAGCCACAAACACTGAAATACATCAGTCGTAACTGCAGGGTTATTTCATGGGGATATGATGACGGAATTAAGGATGCCTTAACTGTGGATTTCCGTGCCTTAACATGTTTTCTTTTGTATTTGCTCAGTACTGTTATATTTCCCCTATGCTGATTATATTTAAAATAATGAAAACACTTCTCTTGGTATTATTACAAGTTAAAGTTGATTACAGGTAAAACCCAATTCTCTGAAAGTGTAAGGGGACAATCTGAAGTCCAGCTAATTGGGATCTTCAGTCATGCAGAGCTTTCCATTCAGGGCTTAACTAAGCTCCTGTGATGCTCCTAAGGGGACAAACCTGGAGTTTGTTAATCAGAGTGTGGGAAATCAATATTGTCCCTTTAATCCTTGTGGGATGTTGGCTAGTGCTAGAGCAGGGGACTTGTAGCTGGGACTCCTGAGGTCTGTTCCTATCTCTGCTACAGACTTGCTTTATGACCTTAGTCAAATTCTTTAACTTCCCAATGCTGTGCCTGCCTGTAAAATGGGGATAATAATACATAACACTAAGAGGTATTTTTTTAGCCTTAATTCATTAATATTTGTAAAGTTCTTTGACCAAGAAAGGTGCTAGAGATCTGCAGGGTTTTATTCTTATTGCCACCAAAAGATGGTCTTCCCCAGCCATTCAGTTGGTTACAATACATCTTTCTCATTCACTGCTCTTCTGCTTAGGCTGTTACCACCACACCCCAACCTACCCTTGTGCTTAGACAGCCTTGCTGCATTCACCCTGCTCATGCAAGCTAATCCTTCATTTTGTAATTTAATTGAAGAAATGTTTTTTCCCTGCGCATTGTCTCTGACAATGTTGGCAGGACCTCAAAGCATGAGAGGGGGAGGGAAAGGCAAGTTAAATACACCAAAGGAGACAAGGCTAATGAGGCCTTTTTCTGTGAATGCAATGAAGTGGACAAGTTATGCAGCTTTCAGAACATAACAGGCTCCTTTGCTGAGTGCTCAAAAAGTTTCTGGAGATTGTTTTTTTGGATGAATGAAATGTGAGATAACTGTGCAAAACTATTAGACAAAGCGTCAGTGTATGTGACAAGTGTTCTGTCAGTTTCCTGCTTAATGACAGGTTGTACTTTATGCAATGAGACAGGAGCTCAGAGTTTGGTCTGAGTCTTTCTAGAGAGCCAAAGCTACTCACATGGACCCTGTCTAAATGCATGTTTCCATATGTCATCTCATTGCAGCCCAGAGAAAGAAAGATCCCACATGTTAGATTGACAATCTGCTTAAACCATAATAATTCTTACACAACGGTTGACGGATTTGAGTCTGGGGTTGATAAATGTGCTGCACAAAGCTGCATTCATAGAATAAATATTGGTTTCCTTATAGCACCTTTCATTCCCAAAGTGAATGCAGTAGTTACTGGTATTGTGGTGATTGCATAAGCAAACTGGGCAACCCCTGTTTTCTCAGCAATGACTTGCAGACAGATATGAAACAGTATCTAATGTGTATGAGAAAGGAAATGTAGATAGGAAATGTGTCGTCTTTCTTTAGATAAAATGCTGTGGGGTCTTCAGTATCACCTTAGTTTCATGTCTTATCCAAAGCCTGGTACATCTAATAGCCTAGTCATGCAGTCAGATCCCAAGCAAGAACTCCCATGTTTTACCCTGAGCAAGATCTATTTCTCTTAGGCTTTGAGATACACGTAGTGCTGCTGTATGTAGGCATTTAACTGGGGAGCACCTTCTGTAAGGTTGTACTGTAACGTTAGCAGCACTGGTTTTGAACCTCAGGCACTTTGTCACTCATGTGGCCTCCTTCTGTATCTTGTGAGGAAGGTTCCTCTAGTCTGTTCTCTACCTGTGTTTTTACCATGGCCTTCCCTCTTAATTTTAAAAAGAATTGGCTAAACCAAACTGATTGAAATCTGGACAGGTTAATGTGCAGGTGAGTTCTTCATGGAACCAGCAGCATGTGATTCCCCGGAGCTTTGCCAAGATTGGGAGGTAAACTATTCTATTACTGAGTAAGAAGGAATCTCATTTGAGAACTGAATTCCCATGCACCTGTCTTCCTCATTCCCCTTTTTCGTTACTGCTATGTTGTGGGATAAGTGGTAGGGAGAGGCTAGAACTGTAGCTGCTGGTGGAGTACAACCCCTTCAGATGTTGTGGTCTTTTCTACAAAGGATTGTTTGTGAGGTTCTGCTTCATGAATTTCTCTTTGTGGCAAAGGATGTTTGTAGTGACCCTTGTAGAGAAGAGACAGGACTCACTAGGAGTGAACATAGAAAGGATTTGATATTTAGGCTACTGGATGTGTATGGTCAGATTACAGGACAGGCTGCATCTCTGTCCCTCCTCCGGTCTCCCTCAGAGTGGACTCCCTCCCATGTAAGGCCTTTACCTATGCTGAGGTGGATTTTTGCAATTCACCCACTCTTAGACTGGACCCGTCCCTGGGCTAGAGTATCCTGTGTACCCACTGTGCTTACCCTACAGGTCCAACAGAGTTGGGGAACTTGTGGTTCTTCCCTTTTGGAGTCTGTGACTGGTGGTATCCAGCAACCAGGCAGCCTTCCTAAACTAATGTAATGCATTTTAGCAAGAGGAACAAAGCTTCCAGAAAAAAAAAGGATTTTAAAACAACAAACAGTCTACACTGTTTTACCATTTCCTGATGGTTTTCTAGATAGGCCTATCTTCCTCAGACCTGTGAGGTCCTGAGCCTCAATCTGGTTCTTCTTGGACAACTACACCCTCTCTTTTTAGAGAGGGTCCCCTTTAATTCTGACAGAATTATTTTATTCTCCTGTGTTCGTGAGTCTTACCCTGTCCTGGTCAGAACCATTTGGATAGGTAGGCTGGAGAGGAGGTAAAATCATCAAAGCTAACAGTTCTGGCATTGTCCCGTAACAGCT